TTGTATAGGTGTTATAGGGGGTATTAATTTAAAAACTGGGTTTAATAATAGTAGTATATTTATAAGGATTATGTGATTATAAATAATAAAAACTATAAATTTCTTTTTGTAATTAGAATTAATAATGGAAATAAATTTTATAATAGAATCTAATACAATAATATTCAATAGAAATAGAGTATTCTATATATATAATAAATTAATTTATTTAAAATCAAAGTATAAATAATAATAAATTAATTATAAATCAATAAAAATTTATAAAGTATTCTATTAAATTATTAATATAATTCAATCGATTTATAATCAAAAAATCTAATTTTTTTGATAATTGAGATTTATAAGTATTCCTATATTTAATTTTTTTTATAAAAAGGTTTTTATATTTTTTATATAATTTTTCCTTTGTTAAATTATAATTATATTATCCATAGCCTTTTTGATATTATAATACAAAGTTATATTATAATAAGTATATATTTGATATATAAGATTAATATCAGGGATATATTAAGAAGATATTAGAATATAAATCTTCTTTTAATAATAATAGTAGTTGTAAAAAATATATGGATTATGATTAAATTCATAAAAATTATTAAAATCAATATTAATAATATATTTGAAATATTAAAAACAAATAGGGATAATTAGTTTAATTAGGCTAATAATAGAATATAAAATAATAAGAATAGTATTATTAAATTAAAGAATAATTATTATAAAAAGAATAAAAAAGTTTAATAAAATAAAATAAAAGAGATTATATTATTTAAAAACAATTTTATTTTAATAGAAAGAAAAAGTGTTATTTTATAAAAAGTATAATAATCTATTGGTGAAATAATGAAATATATAAAAATTGTTTTATTTATATTTTTATTATTTATAATATATAAAGGTATAGAAATTTCCTTTTAGGAATATAATATAATATAGGTATAATATAATGTAATTATATATTATTAAAGTAATCTGATTAAAAAAATAAAATACTTTTTGGGATATGAAGTGTAAAAAAAGGGAATTTTGTTATAGTTATAGATTAAAGAATTTTATTAGGTATGTAATAGTAAGCCCTTAGGTTTATTATATATTAAAAAAAGCCTGTATATATATATAAATTGTATAGTTTTTATAAATTTAGAAGAATTAATAAAAAGTCTTGATACTACATTTCACCTAATTGATTTATTACTAGTATCTACTCTAACAAAATCTTATAAAACTTTTATTCAATAAAATTAATGAATAGGAAATTACAAATAAATTAGAATTTTTAATAATAAATAATATATTAAATAATAATATTTTGTATATTTATTTTTTAAATCATAGATTTTATTCTTTTTATTTTATATTTTATTCTTAATTTTATTAATATTTTTATGTATTTATTAAATCTCAATAATAAAAACAATATCAAATAAAATTCAAAATAGAATAGAATGCAATGTAATATATATAATATCAATTTTTCTGTAAAAACATTTTTATTTGAAGGTTTTATATTTGAAGATTAAACTTTTGATTTAAATTATAATTTTAAAGCTTTTATATATGATATTGATTTGATTTCAAAACTTAATTATAAATATTAGAAAAAGAAAGATATAATAAACAAATATTACAATTTGAATTGATAAATAACGATTTTAATTAATTATAAGATATTTATTATTTTTTAGATATTTTAAAAAATATAATAAAGTTTATAAAAAATAATAATGATATTTTTGAAAAAATACTTTTTATAATAGAGTTTTTGTTATAATATTTTGAAAAAAAAAAGATATGATATATATTTTTTTACTCTATATCTCTTTATCTATTCATTTTATTTATATTTAATTATATTTAGATTATTTATATAAATAATCTATTTTTGGATCCTTATATTAATAATAAATAAACAAAACTCAAAAAATATTATTTTTTTATCAATAGATTATTATATTATATTATTATTATTATACTAAATCCCTTCCAAAAATAATTATATTTTAAAGAATCTTAAAAGAAATTTTATTTATTACAGATCAAAAAATGAAAGAATAATATTGAATGATTTTGAAAAAAAATATTATAAATTAAATTTCAAAGATTTATTTTAATTAATATTTAAAAAAATCTTCTTAAATATATTAATTATATATTAATTATATATTTATAAATTAAAAATGTATTTTATTATTTAATAAATAAATATATAAAACATTTTATTATTTCTCTTTTTAAATATATTCAAGATTTTTGTAAATAATAATTTAATTTTATATAATAATAATTTAAATAAAATAATATTTGATTTATTTAATATTTTTAATAACGTGTTTTATCATCATGTAGGCCATATCATTATGTGGGCCACTTTCACCTTAATTATTATCTCTTTACTTTAATATGCAATTTATTAACAATCTATTATGGAAATAATTAATAAAAAAGTACAAATTATTTTAACTATTAAAATTATTTAAAAAAACAAAAAATTAAGTATTCGAAAAGCTATTAAGCTATATAATATTCTGTATATAACAATTCAATATAAAATAGACAATTTTACTTTTTATATAGAATATTAATATAAAACCCATAAGATTATAGAATTAAAAAAGAAAGTGATTATTCAATATATAATTGATATAGATAATAGAGGGTTTCTATTTAAAATTAAAAATATAGAAAATATAATAAATCATATTTTCAAATTGAAGGGTGTGAAGTATATTAGAAAATTCTAAATGTATTGATTTATAAAGTATTGAATTGAATTAAAAATATATTTTAGTTGTGTTTATAACTTTCAAAGAATTCTTTATAAAGATTCTAAGTTTATTAAAAAATAGTTTCAATTAGTTTTGAATATATAAGCAAAATACGGTATTTTTGATTATAATTTCTATAATTTTGATAAAATAGGCTTTATAATAGGTATAATATACTCTGGAATAATGGTAATTAATATTAAATGAAATAGTAGAAATAAGATAATATAATTAGATAATAAAAAATAAATTATAATGATTATATATAATAATAGAAAAAATGAAATTATATTTCTATTTCTAATAATTTAAGGATGGATTTATTTTTTTAATTAATATATTAAAATTGATTTTTCTATAAATTAGATTATTAAATCTATATCTAATAAATGGACAAATAATGAAATAGATTTAAAATAATTAAAGTATTTCAATAAGTATATTAAGAATTGAAGAAAGGGTAAATATTGAATATTGATATTAGATGAATATAAAAACCACAAATTAAGAGCTCTTTAAATATATTGTAAAGAAAATAATATTGTATATTTATATTTATTAATATATTCAAATCATTTAACTCAATTATTTGATATAGATTGTTTTAATATTCTAAAATGTTTATATGGTATTCAAATTAATGGATTTATTAAGGCATATATCAATTATATTTTAAAGGTTGAATTTTTTATAGTTTTTAAAATTGTATATAAAGAATCAATTATTTCTTAGAATATAAAATCAAAGTTTTAAAAAATAGGTTTAATTTTATTTAATTCTAAAACTGTATTTTCGAAATTAGATATTCGAATTTGTATATTTATTCCCTTTTTTCCCTTTTTCAATCTAAATCAATAAATCTCTTAAATCCCTTATAATCTAATTGAAGCTCTTTTTCAATCAATATTAATAAAATCTTGAATAATTTGTTATTAATCAAACTCCTTTATATTTATATTTGAGATTGTATTAATTTTAATTAAAGATATAAAGAGATTAGCTTATAAGAATATACTTTTGAATATAAAGATTCATATATTTCAAATAGTAAATAAAATATTAAATAAGTATTAATATGCGAAAAAAACTTAATTATATCAAGGAAAAATATTTATTAAATAAAAGACTTTTAATATATTATTTCAATAAAAGGTTGATATTTAGATTTGATATAACAAACATTAAAAAGAAAAGAATTCTAATAGGAAAGTATTTTCTAGTTAATATTATAATAAATATAGAAAGTTAGATTATAACTTAAGAACTTATTAAAACGATATAATAGATCCTAGATTATTAGATTTTTAATAATTTTAATCAATTAATTCAATTGTTATTGAATAATATAGATTTAAAGATATGAATTGGGGTGAAAGTGGCCCACAAGATGATATGGCCCACATGATAATAAAACACGTTATATCTATTTTTATTGAATATTTATTCTTTTTTGTAAAGATTATTATTATTATAAAATAAAATAAATTTCAAATTACGATTATTGAAAAAATAGAATGTTTAAAATTATCGTAGGGTATAGGCTAGTAGTATTATATAAAAGCTAGTTCGATTTAACAACTAAGATGGATTATATAAGCAGTGTAACACGTGATATTAAAGAATCTGTATATCGATATTCAATTTCTTATTTTATATTCAATAGGGAAAAGGTCTTATTTTATGCTTTTTCCTACTAATCTAGCTTTTCCGCTTTCGTTAATCTTTTGCAGATCTCTTCCTAATCCGGCTATTCTTTCGAAATAAAGCTCTTTTTCTTATTCTTTATTTCATAGTCTGTTTTCGGATTTATAATCGTTTTCGTATTTATGATTGTTTTCGTAAGCTTATAAGCGACGATCATGTGATTTGATTATATAATACGCTCATATTAGGTTGAATGCTTTCAAAAGATATATATATATTATATTATTTTTATTAAAACAATAAAAATTATAATTAGATTTAGATTTGTAAATAAAAGATAATATAGAATTTGAGAATTTGAATAAATGAAAGATAGAAATTATTTTTTTAAATAATATTTTATTATTTTTTGAACTTTATTAACATTAATTTTGATTTTAATATTAAATTTTTATATTTCAGTTTTTTTTATATATCTTTATAAATGTTCGTTTTGAGTAATATTTATAATAATGAATATTCATTTTCTAATATATATTATTTATTGTATCAAAAGTTTTATACATATTACCGTAATACTATAGTATACTAATGCCTACACTGATGTCCCCCATCGACTCGAAGATCTGCACCGGTCATCCATAAGCTACCATCAGCAAGTAAAAACACAGCGGGAGCCTTAAAATCCTCAGGTACCCCAAGTCGACCCAACAAAGCACCTGCCATCCATGTCTTCTCCACCTCTGGCTCAGCAGCAAGAAGCCCGTCCGTCATCGCTGTCCTAATATACTGAGGCATGGTCAGAGATAAATTTGAAAGATGGAGAGAAAACCTACTCCTGGAGATAGAGTGTTTATCCTGATACCATGAACACCCCATTCCTGAGCAACAGATCTACACATCTGTTGCACAGCTGCCTTTGAAGTGTTGTATGCAGGACATGTCAAACCCTACAAGACCGTGATTAGCATGCCTTTATGGTCGTTGATTGAGCAGCTCATACCCTATTTGCGACTTGGCCCGACATAGATGCAATCATAATCATGCTCCCCTTCGTCCCCTCGGCCATGAAGATTCTAGCCGAGTGCTTGACGGTCAAGAAAGTTCCGGTTACATTGACATCCATGACCCGTCTGAAGCCATCAACCGGATATTCCACTGCCGGTATTTTTTGCTGGATGCCGGCGCAGGCAATAGTCCCTTGGAACGGAGCACCAAGCTTAGAGCCGGCATCTGCAATAAGATCTAGAGTAGCTGAGATTTCATCTTCGAGAATGATATCGCATTGGTGATATGAGACGGTGAGATTGGCGGATTTCGCCATGGTTTGGAGAGATGTCCATTCGAGTTCAGATGGTGAAGGAAGGATATCGATGCATGCTACATGGCCGCCAGCCTCAAGTACAGCAGCTGCAAGTGTTAATCTATAAGCCTCTGCCTGCTCCCGTTATGGCTATTGTGCGCCCCGCAAGCGAGAAGAGAGAATTGGTAGGCCTTAAACCCGGCAAGGGGAGAACATTTGGCTCAGCTAGGCTGCCCATCCTGAAGAAGTAATGCTATAGAGTTTGATATGAGTCGGAAGGAGTAAAACGAAGATGTATCTTATTTCAAGACCAAGCAAAGAAGATTTCGCGGATGTGAAGCAAGTATGGCAAGGAAATTCCATTCTTGAAGATGCGTTCAAATAACTCGATTGTGGCTCACGTAGCGGCTATTGAATGCCAATTCTCCATAACTTCAAGAGAGACTTCCGTTAAGTCCATCTTGAAAACGGCTACGACTTCCTCTTACGCTCATAAAATTGAGCTAGAGACGATGCGAGAGTCTGATTGTCATAGAGCTTCCGGAAGAGGGAACTGTAAGCACCCAGAAAAGTGAAGCATTCGGTGGACAATGCTCTTCCTTGTCTTACTTCCGCTTTAGGTTAAACTCTAGCGTCGCCAGTCACTTTTTTGTAGCAATACCAGCCTTGATACGCCAGAGTTAAAACGAGGTAGAGGGTACCAACCGGGAGCTGATGGCAGGAGGTCATTCAGAGATAGCTGACCGAGCTGTTTTGCCTATCGGGGCAATTATAAGCACTCTCAAGGGGATTTGGTCGATATCGATGAGCGGGCAACAAGAGCTGAGATGAGGTTTATATATTTGTTTCTCGCCTACCCATTCTCTGTAGGAATCGCTACACCTGACTTCCTCCGATCGAAATTTTCCATCACATGCTCCCCCAGCCGTCGAAACGCAGTCGCCTACGGATTTCAAAATGCAGCTTTCTCCCAACTCTGGAGTCCCCGACGAGCTTGTCCATGTCGAATTTGAAGGAGCTGAGCTAAACAGCCGTGTTTTAAACACATTCAGATGTCTCATCGCAGATCTCTGTGGAAATTTCAAAGGTGGCCACCCTGGAAGTGCTATGGGAATGGCAGCAATTGGAGTCGCTTTGCGGAAATATGTAATGAAGTATACGCCAGAGATCCAAAGTTCTTCAATCGAGATCGATTCGTTCTCTCCAACGGTAGGCAGCGATCCCGATTATTGAGTGCTTCCAAATTTTAGGGGATGAGAAACATACGATCATAGCACTTCTCTATACTGACTTTGGAAGGTCACACATGTCTCTTTCAATATACTTTTCTACATCTTGTCGGATATAAGAACATGACTTTTGAACAACTCAAATCCTACCACTCCGCAAGAACGGACTCAATCTGCCCGGGACATCCAGAAATCGAACATGATGGGATCGAGGTTACCACAGGACCTCTGGGTCAAGGAATTGCAAATGCAGTTGGGCTAGCAATGGCTACAAAACATCTGGGAGCTACATACAACAAAAAAAATTACCCAATAGTGGATAACATGACCTGGTGTATGATCGGCGATGCTTGTCTACAGGAGGGCGTTGCGCTGGAGGCTATTTCTTTAGCTGGTCACTGGAGGCTGGATAATTTGGCAGTGATTTACGACAACAATCAGGTGACATGCGATGGGTCTGTGGATCTTTGCAACAACGAAGATACCAACGCTAAAATGATTGCCTGCGGATGGAACGTGATTGATGTACACGATGGCAGTTATGATATTGAGGCAATAGTTCGAGCACTTATGGCAGCACGAAATAACAAGGATAAACCCACTTTTATCAACATTCGGACGGTCATCGGGATTGGCAGTCAGTCGGCCGGCGACTCCAAAGCACATGGGGCTGCTTTTGGTGCGGAAGATGTTGCAAACATCAAGCGGACGTTCGGTATGGATGAGACAAAGCATTTCCAAGTATCGGACGAGGTTTATGCTTTATTCCGGGACTCGAAGCCGCGAGGGAGACAGATCGAGACCAACTGGAATCAATTGCTAAAGTCGTATGCAACTGCTCACCCAGTACTATACGAAGAATTCATGCTTCGTGTAGCAGGCAAGCTGACGGATGATTGGGCGAAGTTCGTTCCTGCGAAAGCAGGCTTTTCCCACTAGCCCAACGCCATCGAGAAAGTCATCTGGGCTAGTTTGCAACCCTCTCGCGGAGAACATCAAAAGTTTCATGGTGGGAACAGCTGATTTGTCACCTTCCGTAAACATGATGTGGAAAGGAAAAGTGGATTTCCAGCATCCAGGTCTGAAGACCTCGTGTGGCATTAATGGAGATTATTCCGGACGATATATTCATTGGGGAGTTCGAGAGCATGCAATGGCTTCCATATCTAACGGTCTAGTAGCATTTAACAAGGGAACTATCGTTCCTGTCACTTCATCATTCTTCATGTTCTACATCTACGCTGCACCAGGAATCCGAATGGGTGCCCTTCCAGGGCTGCAGCAGATGCATATCGGTTTTCACCCGATCAACTCATAATCATGTTCATATGACCACGAGATTTGTAGCTACAAGTGTAAAAGGGCGATCGAACAGAGATCAAGCGCGCAAGTCACTAAGCTTATCCACATAATAGTGGGGGATAACTGGTGCCTCTTCAGCCTCCCAATGTTCTTTCTTCATAACTCCTGTCAATACTGCAAGAGTACCGCCAAGCTTGCCCTCAAGACCGAACTTAATATCTGTATCTAATCGGTCTCCCACCATACAAGCAGTCTTGTGGTCAAATTGAAATTTGCTTTTTATCGAGTCCATCATTGCTTGACTTGGTTTTCCAAGAACTATAGGTGTCTGACCAGTCATATTGATGAGAGGAATTGATATTGATCCAGCACCAGGGAAGAAAGTGTGATTGGATGGAAGTATACTATCTGTATTCGTCACCAAGAACTTTGCGCCTCGAGCGAGATATTGATAACCGAGAGAGAGCTTTAGGTAGTTTATGTGGAAATCCAGGCCTGCAAGGACAACTCCGACATTTGGATCCAACATAGATTCATCTGCGATATCTTTGTAATCTTCTGGTGTGATATCTCGTCGATATGCTGGATCCGTTCCACCAATGAACTCAATGCCTTCTGCTCTCAGCTCCGTTTCAATACCTGCTTCACCGATCACAAAAACCTTGTTCTTTGGGGCCGGCAGTTTCAGAATTCGGGCTATGTATATCGCTGAGGAGTATGCGGATGCGAATATTTCGTCGATATTACTTGAGATACCCAGCGCAGTGAACTTCTTCTGGTAATCGGCTCGAGATTTCGTTGAGTTATTCGTTACAAACACAGTCTTCTTGCCTATAGAAATTCAGGACCAACCTATGCCGCAAATCGGAGAAATCGATACCTTTTGCTCTCAATAACTCCAACGTCTCCACAGTGCCGGGGAAGAGGTGATCCCCCGACCATAATACACCTACTGCAACTTCAGTATATCGCTCGAATATTAGAAGGATATAGCATACCATCGCAGTCGAACAAAAAGATCTGAGGGATAATCAGCGATGCTTGAGGGAGTTGGTGATAGTAGCTGGGGCTGACTCAACGCACCTCGAATTTGTCAATGAAGGCATCGATAGCAGGCTTGTCGCCTGTGAGACGCTTCGGGGATGACGCCATGCTGAGTTTGAAGAATTTTGGGCTGGATGTCCGGAGTGAGAAATTGTTGAAGAAGTTGCTGATTGCTAGTATACTCCCATAACCAACGTCCACGGTTAAATATGCACATGACTTTCACTGTACACACCGTATAGTGAGAACAACTGCAAGGGGCGCCAAGACCGCCCCCGTAAAATAAAATATCCTGTACGGGCAATCGTAACACAGAACACCTCGGACGTAAAGCCTCTTGGTGTAAGCGATTCGGATACTCCGAATTGTCACCTCAGGACACAATTTGTCATTTGGATGGATCCCGGAGCTACCAAGGATCGGAAGCTTGCTAATGTGTAATAGGAAGTTACTCGTGCTGCCGGAAAGTATGCAGCTCCTGCCTCAATAGGCTTAAGCCACTGGGGTGAGGCGGGAAGCTCCTTAGTTCTTGAAAGTGACATAAATCATTGAACTTTGTGCCGAAAGCAGTAGGGCTTCAATATATGAACGAGCCATTCAATTGCCCGATTTTTGAAAATCTCCATTTAATATAGTGGAATTGAAAGAAGCGGGGATCCCATTGACCCATCAAGGTCGACATGGCCTATCTAGCGCCGGAGCTGTATGCTTTCGGGCCGCAGTGAACCTTAAATCCAAGGACCCAGTTCAACCTATGGCAAGCGTATTTCCAGCACATTCCTGACTATTGAACCCTGATACGAGCCGCCATATACCGTACGGAGATCGTTCATAAGCTAGCAAGGATTTATTGTTTGAGTTATTCGTGGGTTAGGGTTGTGGTAACCCCGGATTAATCTGATGTGTTTCTTCAACGGTTTATTTATCAAATGCCTAATATTTTTATTGAAAACTCTATTTTGAGGTGCTTGACTCTATTTAAAAGCAAAGCCAATTGGCCCAGAAACAACCTTAAATTAATAATCCTTACTAGCTAACAGCCAATTTTTCAAAAGAATACGATATAGATATATATTATTATTAAAGTTACATCTAATATGGCGTTTATGGTTATTCAATACTTTGGTTTATATATTAGAATAAATAAAGTGGATTGTCTATCTACAGTTGTAGATTGTAAAATACTAGTTTTCAATCAAAAAATTAACGTGTTTTATTAGTGCGCGAGTTATATCAATATGTAGATTACTTTCATCTTAATTCAATTTTCAAACTCATATTATTCAATAATTATTAAGTCAATTAATTAAAATTATAATAATTATAATAATATAAAATCTATTATATTATTTTAATAAGTTCTTATATTATATCTAATTTTTTCATATTTATTATAATATCGATTAGAAAATACTTTTCTATTAGAAATCTTTTTTTTTGATATTTATTATATTAAATCCAAATATTAATCTTTTATTAAAATAATATATTAAAAGTTTTTATTTAATAAATATTGTTTCTTAATATGTTTAAGTTTTTTTTTTATATTAATATTTATTCAATATTTCATTTATTTTCCAAAATATATAAATCTCTATATTCAAAAGTATATTTTCATAAATTAATTTCTTTATACCTTTAACTAAAATTAATATAATTTCAAATATAGATATAAAAAAGCTTAATTGATAATAAATTATTCAAAATTAAATTAATATTAAGTAAAAAAAACTTCAATTGAATTATAAAGGATTTGAGAAATTTATTAATTTAAATTAAAAGAGAAGAGAATAGATAGTTATACAAATTTGAATATTCAATTTCAAGAATATAATTTTAGAATTAAATAGAATTAAATCTGTTTCTCAAAATCCTAATATATATTCTAAAAGATAATTGATTTTTTATATATAGTTTTAAAAACTATAAAGAATTTAATTTTCAAAATATAATTGATATATATCTTAATAAATTCATTAATTTGATTACTATATAAGTATTTCAGATTATAAAAATAGTTTTTATTGAATAATTGAATTAAATAATTTGAATATAATAATAAATCTAAATACATAATATTATTCTTTTTATAATATATTTAAAAAGCTTTTGATTTATAATTTTTATATTTACTTAATATCAATATTTGATATTTACTCGTTTTCAATTTTTAATATATTTATTGAAATATTTCAATTATTTTAAATCTATCTTATTATTTGTTTATTTATTAAATATAAATTTAATAACTTAATTTATAGAAAAATCAATTTGGATATATATTAATTAAAAAAATTAATCTATTCTTGAATTATTAGAAATAAGAGTATAATCTCATTCTCCCCATTATTATATATAATTATTGTAATTCATTTTTTATTATTTAATTATATTTAAACATCAAATCTGCAATTTGATGTTTAAATATAAATTCAAAACCTGCTTTCAAAAAACACGGAATATCCAGTGGATTTAGTATGGATTTGTATATCCAAACTAGCCCTTAGACTTCGTCATCCTTCATGTCTACGAGTAGAGAAAACCCAGGGATATGCGTAATTACATGGCCTTCAATTTTGTCTCCCGCCAACTTAATAACTAGCGAAGGAGTCGCCCCGCACCCCTAAAGAATACTTAGTATGACCCCACACGTAACGTACAGCTGACAGGGTTAAGCCACTTACCCAGAATACGGGGACTTCCCCTTCCTCCCGTCGCACCCCGACAACATCTCCAAAATCCGGCTTTTCTAGATTCTTGATGCCAAGTCGTTCCAGTGCGTCCCAGCCCCAGTCTACTGGTTCCCCATGGGTTCGACTAAAACGGCCTGTGATAGCACGTACTCGTGGTATGTCTGATTCCTTGTACGGACGCATGCTCACTACCATTGTCCCTTCAGTAAAGATACCTGCAGGGTGCAGCTTGTAAGTAGTTGTGTACCTGAAATAAGAATTAGCTTTTGGAAGCAACATAAGGATAGAAATTTTTGAGACAAAACTCAAGAAAATTAGAAATAGTTTTAGTGGAAAGACAAACATAGTAACGTTGCAACCAGCTTCAACGTGCCGAGGCGGAAGCCCCGCGGCGACAAGTGCAGAATCAAAACTGAAGCTACAACCCATGATAAACGCCGTGTGGGACTCGGTCCAATAATCCTTCACGTTGTTCGGGGTGTCAATGAGAGACCCACAGGAGTATACGTTGTATCTCGGGAGATCGGTGCGGAGATCCAATAAAGGCACTGCAGAATCGCCGGCCCCAGATTCAGCACCCGCTTTAATTAACCTAGTGTCTGAAAGCGTATGCGGGTCACCTGTGGTGCGCGAGGTCGCCAACAAAGCGAAGGGAACTGGGTTGCGCTCGCACAGCGAGATGAAGTCGGCGGCATACTCAATAGGGAGGACCATAAGGTTACCTGGTTATGTTAACGCTATTTCAGAAAACTGAGTAATAAAAAAAGGACTTTTGAGGCATACATTGAACGTAGCCTGGTGCTAGACCAACAGTGTTTTCAGTATGCTTTTCTGAGCGACATTGCAGCCGAACAGCTGCGGCCGATGACTGTGTAGCCATTTTGTCGAAATGAAGGATTTAGAGATGTGATAACTCAGAGGAACTCATTCCAAAACAAGGCTGATGTGCTTGGATTTTAATACAAAAACAGTTTATGGGGTTGGAACGTGTTCCAGCCCATCCAGGGTAGAGAGCTGCGTCATGCTCCTTGCGTCCTTTTGCTCTACACTGTATATGCTTGGAATTCCTCCGCAAAAGCCGACTTTTATTAAGGTTTTTAGTGACACATTCTTGAACTTAATTTAAAACTTCAAGAACAAAGTATAAACCGATATCTCATATGTCTCCGTAAAGGTCGATTTTGATTAGGGTTTTGAGTGACACATTGTTGAACTTAATCTAAAACACTGAGAACAAAGTATAAACCCATGTCTTATATGTCTCCGTAAGGGTCGATTTTGATTAAGGTTTTGAGTGACACATTGTTGAACTTAATCTAAAACACTGAGAACAAAGTATAAACCCATGTCTTATATGTCTCCGTAAGGGTCGATTTTGATTAAGGTTTTTGGTGACATGTTATTAAACTTAACTTACAACGTTAAGAAAAAAGACGATATCTTATATATCTCTGCAAATGTCGATTGCTATTAAGGTTTTTAGTGCTCTCGGAAGTAATTACGTGGCACCTGGAGTGTTAAAGATCGGGGCCTAAATGTATATTAGAGAGTTAATAATAGTAAATCTTAAATCTAAGCATTCTCGACTTGACTTACGGTAAGCCTACAATCCATAACCTAATATAAAATATGAATGAAAAGAAATTTATCATTATCATTATTAATCCTAAATGGATTGCAAAGAACTAAACATATTCTGAATTAATTAGAATATAAGATTAGCTTTGATTAGATTATAATATACTGTTATATAATCTTTTACTCATTCTCTTAGCATATTCTTTATTACTGAGCCCTGAAATTCATCTGCAAAGTTATTTTAAACTTAAAAAATCCTTAATTTACTATCGAGAGAATTTTGTTTTTATACAATTCTTTCATAAAAGGACTCTATATACTATAGAAAGTCGATACGAGATTTAAAACTACTTAATAGGTTTTGTTCTATAAAGTTGTTTTTTAGTCTTTAAAATTATCGTTAGAAATAGAGCTGAATATTTCTTTATATTAGACCTTATTTTCACGGCGTGAGGTCTAATGAGTACTAGAGAGGACATATAATATTCTGAAAGGAGAGAAAAGTCCTACTGGCAGGAGGTCTATAAAAATAAGAACGATAGAAGAGTAATTAATAAAAACCCTACTTCTAGTAAATTTTTTTTTGTTTTTAGAGATTTTATTATTGTTTCGAATGATTGAAGTAGGTATAGACTTGCTCCCCTCAAAATTCAACATTCAAAGTGTTGGAACACGTGACTGAGAACATGTTACGTTCTCCCCCACTCACGCACTTTGTATATAAGTGGGGTAGAACGCGTATATAGCTTAGCAATGCCCCCTTTATACGAAGGGAATAGACATAAATTATAATACTATTGAACTCAATACACTCCCTTACTAAGTCAACTCAATATACAGCTTTTTCTTACTCTTAACTCAATTTTAATTCATCTATAATATTAAAAGATTTTTAAAGATTTTTATAAATTCTAAACAAATCTAAAATAAGCATTCCAGACCGAAATTCAATCTAACTTAATAATTTTGATTAAAATATAACTTTTATAATACCTCTACTATTTATAGTTTATTAAATAGGGTTTGGTAGTTTGACTAAACGAGTCCAAATAAATTGAATACGAGAACGTTCCTAGATCTTTCAAGTAGCGTAATAATATAATTGACTAAAGCTTCTAAAATGAGGAAAAGTATGATCGGTTTTTGGTCGGTTTTACGTTACTTACCTCATTCAACCTCGAATACGATGTGGATGCCTGACGCGTACACGCCAAAGGTGCTGCCGGCAGGAGGTATGAACCCGTGACATTCATTTTGCTCTAGAAGCTAGGTTTTTTCAATAGTTTATACGATAGTGCTAGATCTAAGATATCTGGGTTTCGTGACTTTGTAAAAATGGCACTTGATTTTCTCGGTTTTATATTTGTAACATTTGTTTCGTACTTGCACTTTCACAAAACGAGTTCACGAAGCCAAGACCAAATTCCAAAATTTCGGCGACCTGATGGACCCTAGAGTACAAAGGTGTAAGTCGAATACCTCACCTTCGGGCCACCCCTCTTTTGAGTCATCTCAAAAAAGCTTATTGCAAGAAGATACTTTTTTTATTTATTCTTTAATAATTTTATAATACTTTTATTAATTAATTTAAAAATTTGATATTATTATTAATTATATTATATACAAATTATATATAAAAAACAATATTAATATGGTTTTATATATAATAATAAATGAATATTTAATGTAGAAAGGTGCTTTAGATTTTGAAATTTCAAAAGTTATTTTTCAAAATTATATAAAAAACTATTTATTTTATTAAAAGAGTATACAGAATATATAAAAGATAATTTCAATATAAAAAAAACAATTAGTAGATTGAATATTAATTTAAGAGTTTTTGGATATTAATTCTATATATTATTCAGTTTGTGAAATTGAAAAATACCTTTTTAATATTAAAAAAAATGATTTTATATTTAGAAAATAATAGATATAGAATTTTCTTTAAAAAAGTCAAAGATTAGAATTAAAAAATTAATTAAAACTAATTTAGTATATATTAAAGATATAATTATTAATATTATCAAAAACTAATTTCTAAAATTAAATATATTATCAATTTATTATATTAAGTTTAAAAAATCAAAATAATATAAATAAAATAAAGATATAAGAAAGTTAGGGATTGAATGAATTAATTTTAGAAAACTCTAAATATTGTTTTATTTGGAAAAAAGAGTTTAATTTTCAAATCTGAATCTTATTTATAGAATGTATTTTAATTGTAAGTATAACTTTTATTTTTATTTTATTTTATAAGAGAAAGTTAATATAATAGTAGTAATTTTTAATGGATTTGATATTTTATATAGAGTAGGAGTTTATTATTATAAAAAATGAGTGGATTATGAACGATATTAGTTTAGAATGATTTAAAAGAATTCTTATTTTTTAAATAGTTTTTTTACTGGATAAGTTTAGGCTTTTTATAATAAATGGATATGAAAGTTATAAAATTATTAAATTTATATATAAATGTTTTAAGTATAATATAGTTATATTTTTTATTTCTATTATTATATATATTATATGTTTTATAAACTTTTGATTTATTTATATTTTTATTTTTTAAAAGAATATATAAGTATTATTGTAATAAATTAGCTTTTTTATTGAATTCTAAATTAATTGAGAGAATCAATTTCCTTATATACTATTAAAAGGTATGAATAGATATTTTAATAAATATAATATATTAATTGAATAAAAAGCTTTAGGTTTATAGTCTATAAATTGTATTAAGTTTATTATATTTAAATTATTGTTTGAGAATAGTAATAAAGAAATTATAAATTAGAATTTAGATTTTGATAATGATTTTGTATATTAATGGAATAAGGAATTTATAATTTATAATTTTTAAAATATCTGAAAAAGCTAGTAATTTAGGGAGATATATGTATATAATAATTCGAAGCGAAAAGATAAATATTTATATATTGTTGGTAACACTATAGGGATGGTGAAGACAATATAGTACTATGGTTCACACTGTTGTAATATTGCTTGAGGTTCTTAAAGCTAGGGCTACGATACGTCTATACTTAAGTGCCGAGGCACTAGCGTAAGCGCTAGTGCGGTCACATGATCCCTGTCCCGACATATATGTTATTAGTTTTTTAGGAAAATTACTAAGAGATCTGATATTAAAGATTTTAAATTTATATAATTTAAATATCGAATAAAGCAAATAGAATACTAATTAAAATGATTTTTCTTAAAAAAATATAGAATAAAAACTAATCTAAGTTCGAAGTTTTCTACAAATCAAAAATATTAGAAAAATGTAAATCAAAATAAAAGATTATAAAATAGATAACATGGTTTATCATTGAGTAAATTATATCATCAAATGGATCATTTGAAAATACATCAAAATTAGCTTTTTTTAAGTATTCTTATTTTGATAAATAATTACTATTTTTGAAAAATAAAAGGATTTAAAGAAATAATAAAAATTTAGTTTCTTAGAGATATAGTTTTCATATAAATATTTTTATTATATTTAATAAAAGATTGAAAATATTATGATTTCTATTATAAAAAAACTATTTCTATAATAATTTCTATATTAATTCAAGTTTTCAAAAAAGAAATTAGATTTTTATAATTTATTTATAATTAATTTTTATATATTCAATTTTTTAAAAATTCTATTAATAAATAAAGAAAGTATACAATTACATATAAACGAATTTTGTATATAAGTTGAGTAATCTATTTGATAATATGATCTACTCGATGATAAACCATGTTATAGAATATTCTAATAATGATAATGAAAATGTATCTTTACGTATTTATTATAATACTAAACAATTATTGAATAATTAATGTTTTAATATTATATAATATAAATTTTTGAGGTAGCCCAAAACAGGGGTGGCCCGAAAGTGGGGTATTCGACTTATTTCGTATATGATCTGCGCAAGGCGCAGGGTAGGAAACAAAAGCTCAAAAAACCTTGCCGTGTAATTTTAGTACCAAAGAAGGTGACTCTCTGTAGCGGACACTCCCATCCAGGTACTAGAGGACACTGTTTTCCGTGCAATATTATGTAAGTGAACAGTCCCTGCAACCTGACAAGTCATCTCGCGAACACAAGAAGTGAGATTAATCATCATATGAACTATAGATAATCACTTTCTCTCTGATACCCTTTTCGCAGCAATTGAGCCAATCATTACCATGCTTCCAATTAACATTGAACATCCCCCAAAAATCTGAGCATACAGAAAACTGCCATTGTTTGCCGAAATCAAGGCACCGGCAATAGGGGGGCCCGTCAAGCACGCAATGCTGATAACTGCAAACACCATTCCGAGTCGTGTACCCATCATCTCCAATTTTGTTGTAAGAGTGCTAGAAGCAGCCGGAAAGAGGGCCTGTACAGCATTCGCAAAAAGGCCGTAAAACACAACCCAAGTCATCAGTCCAGGAAAACCATGAATAGCAATCCAACAGAAGAGAAGTAAGCCAGAGATGAAAGAGGCAATAACCAAGCAATATAGTGACCCAAACCATCGATCCGCGACCAAACCGGGAATGATACGGCCAAAAACACCTACTCCATTTATGACAAGAAGAACAGTCGTAGATTGCCGAGTAGATACAAGTAAGATATCGCGACTGAAAATGCTGACCTGAGTAGAAAATGAGCTTGTTAAACCTATTAGACAAAAGTGTACTTACATAGTAATATGCAAAATATACACCCCAAAGAGTAAGAAAGAGACCAATGGAGTACAGAGTATACGGAAGTTCTCTGAACGCGCTCAAGTCTACCCAAGGTCCAGAAGCCTTTGGGGCAATTCTAGTTTTTGTCAACAGAATAACGAAGCAATTGTTTGCCAACATGACGAATCCCATGATCCGTACTGTCCATGGAAATCCTATGTGTTCTAAGCAAGAATAAGCTATGGCGGGGAAAACCAGTCCTCCCGTGGCACTTCCGCATGCGGCAATGCCAATGGCAATTGACCTGCGCTTAGAAAAATAGGTGGATATGAGCGAGATCATTGGACAGAACAAAAGTCCATGTCCAAATCCTGTGCATATACCCTGCGCAAGCAGAAGTTGCCAGTATTTGGTCGCGAATGAGGTTGAAAAGGTACCAATCACTTGTAGGCCACACCCAATGGAGATCAAGGTCTTGAAGTAACCTCTATCCAGCGCTCGGCCAGAAAACGCGCCAATGAAGAGTAACAGACACAGTTGTAGGGACCCTATCCAAGAAATATCTGATACGGGTCGATTGAGAGTAAGGGCATAGTATTGTTGGAATAGTCCGAAGCTATAAGACTCGTCAGTTGTACTCAGATGGGACTTGCAGATTGATGCCAAACAGGTGAATTTCAATTGCCAAATACGCAAGCCATTCAAAAACAAAAAAGGATTTGGAGTACAGAGTGCCTAGCAGGTATAACTTACGAGGATACATAACCCATAGAGTTGAATATCACCAAATGTCCCATAGCTACCTGAGTCCAAGCCAAACATCCACCCTCGGGAGGAGGTTCGACTACTCCTTCTGCTGTAGTTTGTTCGATTACAGACATCACTGGAGGGCTTTCTGTGACTTTTTGCTGGTTGACGCTGTTCATTTTTTTCGATGATAGTCATGAGCCTCCTTGTACCAATGTAACCAAGTATAGAATCAAGTATATTTTCGACGAGAATACAATAAAATAGCTTGAAAATTTTAAAGCGAAGAATAACGAACGTCTATCCGTTCTTTGTTTCAAGTACAATAGAGTTTATAGCAGCCAGCATATGTGAACAAATAAGGTATTTAGAACTAGGAGACGTTCAAACCTTTTGCACCCTGCTGCATATCGGAGTGATTCGGACAAACAAGGATATAATTAGGTTAAATTTTTGAGCGGTAAGTTTTCTAGCTTCCGGACTTACCGCTGTCTCATAAAAAAAGGGGTCGATTATTTTGTGGAGATTTTACGCGAACAACTAACGACTTACCAATGCGGGATTGAAGATATATAGCATTTATCCCTGGACCTTCCTTTTTTAGGGCCTCGGGTCATTCAGTCGCAAACTCAAATTGATTTTGCCACGTAAATTTTTCCTATAGAAACCACTTGGAATCCCCAAATTCCAAAAGAGACTCTCAACATCTAATGAATCAAATCAGTTCTAACTCTCTTACAAAACACTTCCACTCCTCCAACACTATATAAAACTTTGTGTTCTTCAAAATGGCCATCATTTCCTCCAAGGTCTTCGGAGTCAAGCTCGTCGACATCACAAACGACAAAAAGTCACGTAACGATGAGAGCGTCGCCAAATTCGAGATTTCTATCAAATTTGGCGACGACGTACCTTTGAGCAATACTGCTACAACCAAGCCTGTATTGAAACAAAAATTACAAGGAATGCTTCCTGTAGCCCCTGCTCCTGTCAATGCACTGGCTCCTGCTCCTGACTATACACTGGATCCTTCAATATCAACCGAAACTTTGCCAAGAAAGATTCTGCGCATCATCCAGAGCTACGGGAAGAACGAGCCCGATCCCTCAGGCAGTCTATGGCTCGGAATGAACAAGTTCGACCCGATTGTACAGAAGCACGTCGCGGATGGTGAACCAATCAGGATGGTGCTCCCTGCCTTTCCATGGAAGAGCGTGAACAAAGTCGACAAGGTCCTCGGCAAGTTGCCAGACTTTGGAGAGGAACTTGCCTTAGCCCGACTCAACCAACTATGCAACGATATTGGTGAAATCTATGAGCATGGTGCTGAAGTAACTATTACCTCAGATGGGCTTGTGTATAGTGGTAAGTTCAAAACGTCTTTCAAGCTGCTTATGAAATTACTGACAAATTCCGCAGATCTTGTAGGAATTGAAGACGAAGAAGTCTTCGAGTATGGGGCTGCTCTTCGAGAAATGGCCGTTCAAAAGGGGTTTACGAATATTAGATTCACCCGCATAATGGATCTCCTTGGACTGAACGACAAAGCTACGGTCTCGAAAAGCGAGTATCTTAGCTTGGTAGATGAATGCCGAAAGCAGCTCATGGAGCGATACTTGCCAGCAGGATTTGATGCCCGTGATGAGTTGCTTCAAAATCAGGATGCCAATTCGACATATTGCGGTTATATAATTTTCTTGACGAAGGACTTACAGTATTTACAATGCCCAATTGATTTGCAAAGCATCGGAATTCCGCTAACTCATCCATAGATACAACACAAAGATATCGACTGATAATGCTGGCGAAGAAGTGAAGAGGCCTGTGAGCGGCCAAGAGTACAGGCGCAGAGTGAAACGTGTAGCACTTGACATGATTACCAGAGGCAAGGTGAGTTCAATTCCAATGAGACTCCTACTGTGAGTGAATCATTGTTTCAAGGCTTACGCGTTGGAAACAATGTAGGCATTTGCCGCAGTAATCGAGAGCCAGATGCCCAACTACGTCCGCCTTTCAATCCACCGCTCCACTGGGCTTACAAAGTTGTCTTTCCCACTCATCCCCCAGGAAGACTCTTTCTCCAAGACTCCATGGCATACATGTGTTCTCGTAACGGCATCCGGACAGTTCCGCACTGAACATGCCGTGGATCTTCGAGAGAAGCATGAACTTGTTTACAAAAATGGGCGCCCATACTTCTTCCGCGAGAAGTGTGCCATGTGGGATTGGAAAGATACTACCTTTGAGTACTTCTATCCAAAGGGATTGATTATTCGCGCGGAGAGGACTAGTGATGATGCTCGTGTCTTATCAGCCGAAGAGGAGAAGCACTTGGAGAAGTTGAGCAAAGTATTCTCTCCTGTCATTGTTAAGGGATTTGCATAGACAGAAGAGTTCATATTGTATCATTATCCTTTTATGTTGTTGTGAAAATTCATAATAAGTTCACTAAATCACTTATTAATATCTTACTAATCAATATATGTATTATATGATTTTGTAAAATTATATTATCATATAGTTAGTTATATAATAATATCTCTTATCAAATTAATTTATAATGAAATAGAATAGAATGGATCAAATAGAAGCATATGAAAGATTATTAAATTGATTAAATTTGATCCGTTATAATTTCTTTTTATTATTTAAAATGATTCTATAAGATTCGATTTAAATCGATCTTATTTATAAACATAGAAAACACTAACGTGGTTTAACATTGAGTGCACTATATCACTGAGTGCACCGCTTCAAAATAGATCTAAATTAACCTTTTTTCAATATTTGTATTTTAATAATGAATTATTATTTTGATTAAGAAAAATATATATTGAAAAATAAGAAAAGATAAGATATTCAGAAATCTAATTTTTATTCAAATATTTTTATTATATTTCTAGAAAAATCGAAATTATTATGATTTTTGTTATAAAAAAACAATTTTAATAATAAATCTTATTTCAAATGAAGACCAGATATAGGGTTAAGGTTAGATTAAGATTAAAAAAAATATTTTGCTTTTTTTGATATTATTCAATTTGTATTAATTTGATAAATCGAATAATAATAATTATTTCTTTATTAAAATATTATAATAAAAGTTATAATTAATTAAAAATAGGATTTGTAATATTATAAATCTAATTTAGCAAAAAATTAGATATTATCAATTGTTATATTATTTTTTTCAATTAAAATTATTTCGAATATAATTAATTATTATTTAAAAAACTTATTCTATATTTATTAGAAATATAGAAATTTAATGAATAATATTTATATATTCTAAACAATTATTATTTTTAATTTCAAAATCAGAAATTAATATTAAATAAAGTTATAATTAATTTAAATTAACCTTAAAAATTAATAAAGATTATTTAATTCAATTTTTTGATTAGAATTATTTTGAATATAATTAATTATTATTTAAAATATTTATTTTATGTATATTAAAAATATAGAAATCTGATATTTAGTATTTAATTATATAAAAGTATTATTAATTTTAATTATAAAAGCAGAAATTAATTTTAAAAATTAATAAAAATCACTTAACCCAGTTTTCTAATTAGAATTATTTCGAATATAATTAATTATTATTCAAAATATTTATTCTATATTCATTAAAAATATAAAAATTAATTAATATATTTCCAGATTTTTAAATCTAATATTATAATTTACAACAATATATAGAAAGAATCCTAAATAAAAATTATAATAAATATAAATTATCCTAAGATTTTAATTTTATTATAAAAGTATTAATTGGTTTATTAGTCTTATTAATCAAATTTTTTCTTTAAATTTTATTAATATTTTATAATATTATAATATCTACTTCATTAATACTCCTCTATAATTGTTATAATACTTTTATAAAAACTCTAATAATTAAGGAATATATTATCGAACTATTAATTCTAAGGATTTTTTTGGTGTAACACTATTAATGATGGTCTAAATTAATAAGGAAATAATAATAGGCAAAAAACACGCTTTTATATTATTATCCCAAATTCCAACAAATATTAATAGTTTTCGAAACTTTTAATCAATTTTAATATAGAAAATCAATGAATTTAATTTTCTGAAATCAGAATTGAATTAATTTTATTAATTGAAGATTTATATCACATTGAAATAAATCTTATAATTCTATAAAATAATTCGAAATTCCTTAAAGTTTTGATATTTTTGTAATGATTTCTTAAAATTATTATTATAATAATAAATAATAAATAATTAAATTTATTTATATTAAAGCTTTTATTTTATTTAGAATTCTTTAGAATTTAATTTTATATCAAATTCTTTGAAAATCTTTTAAATCTTTAATTCTTCAATTTTCCAATTTTTAATCTTTTAATTTTCCATTCTTTAATTTGTCAAATTTATTATCTTTTTGAATCAATATTATTAAAAATAACTAATTATCAAATCTCTCTTTTTTTATTTAATTCTTTCGAATTTGATATTAATAAATTATTTAGTGATTTCAAAAACTCTAGGGATTTCAAGGCTAAATTGATTTTTTAAGAAATTAATGAAATATTATTTCTTTTTTATTATTTTGTATTTTAATTTATTTTTTATAATATTTATTAAATTTGTATTCAAAATTTGAAAAATTATTTGTAAAATAAATATCTTTTTAATTTAATCTTTATTTATAAGAAAAAAGTAATTCAAAAAGCTTATAATATATATAATTCTTTAAGTATTAAATTAATTAATTACAATCTTCATTTAATTCATTTATTCAAATCCAAATTTTCTTTAATTCTTTTTTTTAAATTATTAATTAAATCCTTATTTCAATATTTCTTTTATAATATTATTAAATTTAATTAAACAAATCTTAAATAATATTTTTATTTCAATTATAATAATATTCCTTTACTCTAATATTTTGATTTTATTAAATCTATTTTAAAACAAAAATTATTTTTAAATTGTTTCTTTTTTGAAGTTCAAATAAAGGAAAAAAATCTTTTAAATAAAAATTCTAATTTAATTTAAAATAATATTGATAAAGATAATAATGAGTTAGATAATGATTTATTATTTTTTTTTTTTAATTTGAATTTCATTAAAAAGAATTAGAAAAATAGTTTTGATTTTAAATTAAAGAATATTGAAAACAAGATTGATTTTATTAAAATTAATAAAGAAAATCTTATTCTATTTCAAAAGTATATTAAATATATTAAATATATTTAAAAATTTAATATTAATAATCTAAAATCCAATTCTGAATTTTATAATAAAAAAGAAAACTCTATATTCAAATTCTATTTCAATATTATTTTTTCGAATTTAGAAATTCTTTTATATTTAAGTTTGGAAAAAGTAATGTATCTAAATAAATTTTATTTAAATATTCTAAATAGTTTTGAAAAAGATAAAATCAGAAATAAAGGATTTAAATCTTTTTATAATTCCTATAATTATATCAAATATTTCAATTTCTTTAAGTTATTCTTTAGTTTTATTTTATTCACCTTTTATTTTTATTTCAATAAATTTTATTCTAATTTCAAAGATTTGAATATAAAGATAAAGATAAAGTTAAAGTTAGGGTTAGGGTTAGGGTTAGGGTTAGGGTTAGGGTTAGGGTTAGGGTTAGGGTTAGGGTTAGGGTTAGGGTTAGGGTTAGGGTTAGGGTTA